TGGGCGCCAAACCTGCAGGAGGAGAAGGTGAGGTGTGGTTAGGTGGATTCGTAGGCGTCGAAGTCGAAGAGGGCATGGCGGCAACGGTGAAGAAGCGACGAAATACGGATCGAGATGAACAGTTGGAAATAAATCGTGGAAAGCGAGCTGGAGCCAAGGAAAGACAATGAAAATTGAATCTGTTGTAATGCCAAGACCGGACTAATAACTCCCCCTCCATCCCCCCCGCATGGTAGGTCAACAAGGTCAACAAGGTCTGAGATACCACTCATGAGGTCCACTCCCCTGAATTATCGGCTCAGGGAGCCATCGTAGTCGCAGTCGTCGTCGGTAGTAGGTAGTAGGTAGTAGGTAGTAGGTAGGTAGTAGGTAGTAGGTAGTAGGTAGTAGGTAGTAGTAGTCACAACAAGTTTAAACAAGCGCAAAGAAAAGGCCAGGGACGCAGGATCAAATTAATAGGGGGTAGTAGTGCATATTATTGATGGGGGACCGGCCCTTGTGAGGGGTACCCTTTGTGAGCTTGTCAAATGATTGCTTTTAATTGTTCCTTAATAAGGCAATTTCCAGGCCCTGAGCCCTAGACATTTTTAAGGATTTCATCAAACATGTAGTAGGTAGTAGGTGGTGATGGCGGTGGTGGTGGTGGTGGTCGTGGTAGTAGCACGTAGCAGTAGCAGTAGCAGTAGCAGTAGCAGGCGCAGCAGCAGCAGCAGCAGCAGCAGCAACAATAGCTAGTAGCAGTAGCAGTAGCAGTAGCAGCAGCAGCAGCAGTAGTAGCAGTAGCAGTAGCAGTAGCAGTAGGAGGAGGAGTAGGAGGAGGAGTAGTAGTGGTGGTGGTAGTAGTAGTCGTAGTCGTAGTCGTAGTAGTAGTATTAATAATACGAAAAATTGACCTGGTTGTGGGCTCGGATTAACTGGGGGGGATTGTTGGTAGAAAACTAGACCATAGGGGGGGAAATCAACAGCCAATAATACTTTTAATTTGGTCAATTTCCGGTGGCTTTGTGGGCTCGGGTTAACTAGGGGGGATTGATTAATCCTGACTTTACATTAAAAGAAAAGAGTGGACGTGAGATCAAATGCAAAGATCGAAAATCGGTGTACTCTTTTGAAAGGCGGGCACATCAAAGTAGTGGGTGAAACTAAGGATCCCGCGGATTCAAGCGAGGATGAGAACGGGAGCGGGAGCGGTTCATAGTGGCTCTGAGCTCGGCGCGAGAAAGTGGTCTGGTCGAAGTGGCAACGACGAAACCACGAGAAGGTCGAGTGGTAGAGGTCGTCCTTGGCGGCAATGAGTCGTCATAGTCCGGTGTGAAGGTGGTGGTAGTCGAAGAAGATGGAGGACGGATTGGAGGACGAGGCGGGGGAATGCGAGGATCTCGGAAGGAAGTAGTACCACGTAGCTCAGCCTCCAATTGGGCGTTGTCGGAATTCAGAGTGTGGATCAATCCAAAAGTGGTCATCAACTCATGGGTGTAATGAAGAGCAGTGTGAATGGCTTGTGTCGCTTGTCGAATTGCAGAATCAAGTCCTCAAAATTGTACCTGCAGGTGAGGTGAGGTAACACGTTCCACGAAGGGAGGGGGAAGGATGGCCAATCGAGTGCGAAGAAGGGTGAGGGTGAGGTCCAACAAGGCGTGTACGTGAAGAATCTCACGATGTAGTATTGCCTGAGCCATCATCGGGATGCCCTCCATCGGCGCCAGGCCAGCGGGTGAAGGAGACATGGCGAGAGAGGGAGGGAAGGTGCTCATCACTCTGAAATAATACTAAGTCGCTGACAGGTTCCAATGAACCTTGTGCCCCGCCGAAATGGCTGGCTGCTTTGACCGCTGCGGTCACGTAAAGGCATGAGCCAACTTGGAATTCAATAGTTCAGCAAATCTTGGCAAAAACCTTTGGCATAAGCCTCCTACGCGCTCTGGGCACGTACATCTCCGAGCAAGGGAGATAAGGACAGACACCCGTTCGACGGGTCCACGGGAGGCACTCTACGGGCTCATCCCGGACTCTCACTGGGAGAGACACACTTATGGATATGCGTACTGACTTGACAGCGGTGCCACACGCCAGCCTAAGAAACCCAAATCCTGAAAGGTCAAGGAAAGCCCTAAAGAGCCTGGGGGCCTTCAAAAGGAAGTGAGGCCAAAAACTCAGGTCGAGATCGGGACGACAAGATGACGGCGGTCCGTGCACATCTGCAGAGCTCACTAGCCCTATACGAGAAGATTGGAGTGAAAGTTTGTCAACACCACAACCAAGCAGGTACGTGGATTCTGCGTCCAGAATCCATATCAGTGACTTGTAACAGCCTCTTCGTTGGACCACTGTTACCAGCCAGGCAGTCCCCCTGCTGAAAAAGAAAAAACAATTCAACGGAATCCCTGTGATTACAAGGGGCGCACACACACACGATAGCCTAGCGTAAAAATGTTTTTCGCATAGTGTTTTGTCGTGTCCAAAAGTAACGCAACACAGGGCTTTTGACTAAGACGTGACGCACTTAGATTGATGCTCGCAAGAGCTAAATCAGTTGCGGCAGCCCACTCTAGTGATTACATTGCCAGTGCAGTTAAACCTTGACTGGCAGCCCCCTCTAGTGATTACATTACCGGTGCAATTAGACCTTGACAGGCGAAACGCAAGGGATTCTGGGGGGCCTTAAACGGAAGTGAAGCCAAAAGCTCAAGTGCAAGCCTGCAGAGAAACCCAAAGGATCCTGGGGGACACACACACGCTTGGCTGTGCTGGAGCGTGTTGACATTGTTTGGATTCCGCATCTGTTTCTGGCAATGCTTGAAATTTCTCTCGTAGGTCCTTTTTCTCAGTAACATGTTAAAGTCAAACGGTATGATAACTATCCAAGATCTTTTGAATGGAGAGCTTGTTTATTGCGCTACTTCTTGCAAACAAGGGGCGTCAACAAGTGGAAACGTTACCGCGCGTGAATGTCTGAACAAGTTTAATGAGCAAAGAGTGGCGGTGGTGTGCTACCACCAGAGCAAGACATATTGACAAAGTATACAGAGAAGTACTGCGCAGGAATTTTGTAAAGCGCAGGATAGAGATAGATAATGAAAATTGGGTTGATGAGAAATGGTTGCTAAAAAAGTTATCATGTGTAGTAGCAATTGTGGTGTAAAAGCTTGATTGGATACTGAGCCGAACAATTGACAGTGTGGTTTTGCCTGCTTTTTGGAGCGAGTTCCTGCTTTTTGCACGTATAGCCACTGAAATTGCCGCGCATAGTGGAGAAGAACTTGTTTCCTGTACAAATTAACAAGCCAACAGTTATGTAAATAGGATTTAATACGATTAGCCAGAGGTGTCAAAACGTCCACCAAAGAGCGCAAGTACCAGGTACTTGACCTTTCTCGCGACCCGACACGGGAAGTCGTCTCATGGCTGCTGCGCCATGGGGAACTAGGACTTTGGGTGTAACCTGGTCTTTTTGTGGGTTGATCGCGCTGTGCCAAGCGGTGGGGTGACCCTCCCCTTTTGTCAACGCTGGGTGGTTCTTAAACGAGAACACAGCACCAAACAAACGAACCAGCAAAAGCAACACAAGAGCCAAAACACCCTGGCCACCTTCAGACATTCGAGCTGACACCACCCCCCAACCCACCCAGCGCAGCCACCCCCCACAACCAACCCCGTGTTGAACGCAACACGAACTGAAGACATTCAGAGCAGCAATCAGTTTATATGGAAAACGTGATGCACATGAAGGCTCCAAACAAGTTCATGTCTATGACTCGAGGCCCAGCGACATCAAGAACCCCAGGTGTAGAGCTAGAGGTCTCAACTTCAGAGGTTTAGGTCGCGAGACAATTCTAAGTCCAGAAGCGTTTGAAGGCTTAGAGATCCGGAGATGGATCTAAAGGGCAAGTGGGGAGCACACGTATGAAAGCACATGGAAGCACATCTGAGAGCACAATAAAAGAGCACGCGCGTGACGGCGCGCATATGAGAGCACAATTGCTGCGCTTGCCACGACATCTGCGCTTCCAGGTTGACAAAGTATTGCGCCTGCCAGGAACTCCGCGCTGCATTGTGCAACCTGAACCAGCATGCTACGCCTGCCACGAAATCTGCGCTTCCAGGTTCACAACTTCTGCGCCGGTTCATAAAGCCCGGCGCCTCCCACAAATCTGCGCATCAATATTCAAAGCGCCCAGCTCCGCCACGGCGCGCCAAGATCACTTCCAAAAGCGCAGTTTTCGCTCGAGACATTCTCCGATTTCTGAAAACGAGCCACGCGTCCAAAGGTCACGACTCACTGCGCCTGCGACGAAATCAGAGCGCACCGAAGACCATTGCCCTGTCCAAAGCACTGCGCCTGCCACGAAATCTGCACTGAAATCTGCACATCAAAGTCCAACCGCTCCCATCTCCTGCATCTGCCATGAAGCGTTGACTTTGGACCAACACGAGGTTTCCCTTACGAAAAGTGACCGCCAAATTCGAACATTCGAAAACGCGCACGTTGCCACAATGAGAGCGCTGCTGCTCCGGCCCAGCAGATTCTGCAAGCCTCGGAGTCGAAATGCGCTTCAAGATTTGAGGATCATGAATCATGAATGTATATATACTCTAAATAGCAGCGAATTAGCCATGTACGCCGAGTGAGCACCTCCGATCAGACACCCGGCCTTAACCCTTACTGTAAGAATCCCTAGTGTGACCACACTGTTTCGGGAAAAAGCAAATCGTTTTTTGATATAGAGATAAAAAGTATTGTGCCCCAAGTCAACTTCTCCTGAAAAAATGCTAAATGATCGCAGAAAACTATCTCAAAAAGCGACCAAACAGCACAAAGACACGCAAAAAGCTGGTTGGGTTGGGGGAGCCCTGTCATGAAAAGTGAAAACACCTGAAAGCATCCAAGCAAAAAGGACATGTACTAGATCACATAAAACATGGATAATGTTTTGAAGCATGTTGAAACTTGCACACCTTGCATGACTATTCCAAAAGCAAGGAAAGAAGCGGTTGCCCTCCTCGCTTCCGCCGTGAGTGCCAGGGCTTCCATCACTGCCTTCGATGGCAGCGGCCACAAGGGAAACTAACTTTGGAAGGAAATATGAACGAGGCCTCCTTCAGCTCGAGGAAGCCCGGCAGCACGGCGACGACAACACCACGGTGTCCAAGCGCTTGGCTGAGCTCCTGCCACCAACAAGACGCGTTTTTCGACCCTAGCCGTGAACAAACATCAAGCATACATGTCAAACTAAATCAACTTGAGGATGTTTGATTTGGGGGAAGTGGCTATATATGGATTGTTGGCTCACAAGTTACAAGTACCATGATGCGGTGCGATCCTTTACCCTTGAATCTTCGAAATCCACCCTCACACCTCGAAGAAAACGAGCAATCGCTGAGACACCTGTCATGTCAACAAGGTGTCTCGCGCATGAACCAAGGAATTTCAGTGCAACTCACCCCCAAGTTCTTTGCGGAGTACTCTTTGTTCCCGCCAGGTAACAAGGCATCTTCAGTTGAACGAAATGCTAGGCTCTCCAGTGCTTTTATCACACCCTTGAAGTTCTGATGCACTACGCACCTGCCCGTCGTAGACGGAGGCAACCAACCCGCTTTTGGATGCAATCACTGCGTGGCCGCTGTGCCTGGGCCAAAGCTGTATATAGCCTACACCTCTCCAGCCACAAAACCAATCTTGCCTATTTATCTGGAAGCAAGGGGTCAAATGCACATCTTGTTGTGGCACGTTTCCACACTTGTTGGGATCCTAGGGAGAGGAGAGCTTGAAGAGCTACTCCACAGCCTAATCAATCTCTGCATAAACAATGCCCACGCAGGTTTCAACAAAAATGTTGGGCCTTTGTCGACTTGGCCGTTTGAGGAATGTGCAAAAACTTGTTCAATGCTCGGGTAAGGTGACCTGTAGCTAAAGCTTCCGATGCTTTTGTCATCATCCTTCAATCGCTCGGCTCTCTAATCTTCGAGTTGGTCAAACCTCACAAAACACAACTAATTAATCGAGCGCTGATTAAACTAATCTATTTGTTTAATTTCTCCAAGGGACATTCTCCAGTGCTCTGCCATCACCTCGCACACCCCTTCAGTAGATGCTAGTAGCCGTGGCCGGGCAAAGGTCAAAGCGCAAAAGGGACCGCTCACCTAAGGCGGAGCCAAGGCAAAACCATTAAAACATGATGAAATATGTGCGTGAAATCATATTTTCCAAACCAGGGAAATACAGTATCATTATTCTTCGAGCACGCAGTCTTAGTAGACCCAACGCCACCAGTTGATGTCAAAGCAGCCATTCAAACATCCAAAGCAAAGTCACTTGGACACCAGGCCGATTCGTTATTCACGGACAGAAACCAACTGACAAATTAATGTTGTCAAACTCTATCAATTACACGCAAAGCTGGATACTAAAAGGATCCTGATCAGAACTCAAGGCCGCCGTATTTTTGCTTGCTGCGTGCTTTAGCAAAGTTTTTGGGCTCTCTGGCTCCAACCAGCAGGCGCGATCGAACTGCATATAGGATCAAAGAACCGCCATCAAATCGATCGCGTGGATTACAGGCCCTATGGCGCACCTTTGATCCTGCAGTCTTGACAACTTTAACCCTGCAGTCCACAGGTTAATCAATACTTCTCCTCAAGTCATTCAAATTTGGGTTCACCCGCTTCACCTTTTCAAAGTGCAATGCAAGCTCGACTGCCTTGCTCCTTGCTTGGCATTTTCCTTTTGTCACATAGTTGGACAGGATGAGCTGGAGATACTACTGGGGCGTGTCCTCACCGCAAATTTGGTTCGGGCTTGTAAATCATCTGGTCCTATGGCAGGTTGTCATTCTTCATCTTGTCCACGCGCTAAATGGTCTTTCTCCACTTCTCGACTCTATCAATCAATCCCGTCTGGTACTTCGGATCGGTTGTGGTGGCCACTGGTAGCTTTTGCCCATCTCTTGTTCAAACGCGCGCGCCTGAGATGTCTCATCAACCAATCTTTGAAGCGTCTGACATGGTTGCCACAGTTGTCTTGATCATGTACTGAGCTCATAACCCTAGACTTGAGACCTGGTCGAATCATCGAATCTTTGTCCACTGCCACTCGCCTGCCGCCAGTTTCACCAAAGTGAGCGGCCTGATGGAGAAGACCGGTGGCCACTCGAATCTCTTCTTCCAACAGCTGATCTCAAATGGTGGGTGACATCACATCTGGCTTGGCTGAGTTTTGCCACGCGTCTGCCGGACTACTTGGACGCATAACGACGATAGTTCGTTCCTTGGAACAACAAGGTTCTGCGCAAATTCGGCTGACCGAAATGGCACCAGAAAAATGCATTAAGTCAAATCCGCAGTTGTTACTTAGCTTCGGATGCCTGGCTTGGCAAAAGCAGGCTTCTCAACCCAACTAACGAAATATATTTAGCTTCCCCAAGAATTTATGGATACACTTCACGTCACGCGCGCGCTGGGCCGGGCGCTCAGCCCTCATGACGCTCTCCTGCATCTTTGGCCTTCGCCTTTTCCTTTCTTCCTAGCGACCCTACTCCTGCGTGAATATTTTTTTCTAAGCGTCAACAAGCGGTATCGGCCCTCAACTTCACCAAATCATGCGCGCGCAGGAAATGTCGCTTGCCACCAAAAAACACTGATGTTCTGAAGGGGCACGCTTCCTTTCGCAATGAAATAATAACCGATTTGCAATCGCTTCCCTACACCGATTGTTGGCGACCTGCGTGATTTTGTGACTGCGTCAAAGACCCCTTGCTATCCACGACCAGACACGCTGTCTTTTCTGGACAGCGCGGGCAACCCAGCCTGCTGTTTCGCCGGCGGCCGGCCGGCCGGCTGGCCATAGTGGCCGGCCGGCCGGCCATGTACTACTAGTAGTAGTTGTGGTAGTAGTAGAAGAAGAAGAAGTAGTAGTAGTAGTTTCTTCCGCGGCCGGCCGGCCAGCCCGTACCTAGATCGGCTGGCCAGGGCGTCAGGCTTTTTACCTTTCCTCGTAAATTATCATGTCCACGCTTACGATCACAACGATATGGGACTATAGTGACTATAGGTGTGGCATCATCAATGACTCCTGTGTGCTGGCAATCCTCCTGTCACATGTCGGACGAGGATGGATTCTCGGTGGCACTACAAGGACGACTTGTGGGCGCCATGTCTCTGAAACACATTGCAAGTGTCTTTCGGCTTGATATCTCCTTTTCAAAACTTCATTCCCCGTGGATTCAGAAAGCGCAATGTTGAACCTCGACCGTGGTCCCCAGCCTTTGCACGGCGGCGCAACCCAAACATGATCAGATGTTTTTTTGCGCGAGAAGAAGCAGGAGGTTCCTTCGATCCTTCAACCTTCCAAGATCATGTCCACAATCTTCCTTCCCTTATCTGGATTGCTACCCTTTTGGTTCTTTTCTCAACCTGGGCCACAAGCGGGCTCTGCCTGTGAAAACTTTGACACGAACACCCAGCTGATGAAGATCGCTACATTCATGGAACTGACAGGTCGCCTGGTTTTCCCTATTGCGCGAACTCCCCACTTGGATTTGGACATGTTCCTGTTCCCTTGTTTAGCCATGCAAACGATCTTCAGTTCATAGAAAATTTTTTCTGCGTCTGCAGGGGTTATTTTCTAGCCATGGCCTATAAGCTACGAAGGCGCGCGCCGCCTGGTTCTCTGAACGTGCAAGCAACTGGCTGTTCTATCCTTGGTCTTTCTCCTGTCCTCTTTCACGGCAGTGCTCGAGATCAACGGCGGGATGGGGACAACCGGCGTGTATGTTTGCCTGGCTCTTTTGACTCCTCTCACTTTCTTCCTTGACTCTGTGTAAACTCCTTCTTGGCCTTGTCTGTGTTCTGCAGGTCTTCCTCAGAGCCAGCCCCCAAGGAATTTTTACCTTCAACTTGGAACGCTTCTTCACCAGAAGGTTGATGAAGGCTCAACCGTTGGTTCCACAGCAGAGGTGCGCCGTCTGGGACGAACAAGTCTGCGGTTCCTGCGGTCGCCCATCTTGACTTGAACCACCTGTGGCTGGAATTGTATGGCTTTGCTGTTCACGCGACACCCCATTTAAAAATGTCCAAGAACTAAGAACTGACTGTAGAAATTATTAGAAAATGTGTTTTGGCTCTATGTGACATCATTCCAAAGTTACATGTTCCTCGCGCTGATCACCCTTGTGCCCTATTGTGTCCCAGTGGTCTTCCTTTGAGATGCCTTTGAGCCGGGGCTTGATCCCGCACTCCGAGCGGAACTTGCGCGTCGGTGATGCATCAAGTCAAGGGGAGGATCAAAAGGACTTGGCACAGGGCCTTGTTCAGTCTCATCCCTCTGTTCAGGTGGACTGGTTGTTTGTCCATCTAGTTCATCTGACTCCCCCAGGCTGCTGGATGCAGCCTTCTTGTCGGCTGCTTCGCTCGCTGAACCTGGTCTTTTGCGAGCTGAGGGGGGTCTTGAACCTGGAGGTGAAAGCGGTCGTGCCTTCATTCTTTCGCTTCACAGAAAACAGAAGCCCATCTATTATTGCCTGGCGAAGCTAGAGTCTTCACCACCTGTAGCCAGCCATCTGTACTGCGAAAGTCAGCCACAGAGAGAAAGCTTGCTCAAAACTCTGGGTCCTGCTAGGTGCACCAACCCTTCAATGTACCTAGATTGCACGGACTGCGCTGCGGCTTGGGCCGCACCAGCATAAGGCCGGGACCTCACAAGGCACAGCTGGAGCTTGGCAGCTCCGCTACCATGTAAAATGGTAAGCGGAGGATCACAACAACGTATATCTCCGGTGAACGGGGATCAACGATCGACGATAAAGCGATCACACACGCTTTTCCATAGCGCAGCCGCCGTTCGGTGGGAGCACGCTCAAGGGCCCTGAGCCAAGATGGATCAATCTTTCCCGCGTATAAATTGCTTGAATTGAAACCGTGGTGATTGGAGCAAGGTGCTGTTTGCATGTCCGTCTGATCCATCAGCCTAACGCAGTCATCCAAGGCCAAGTGGTCCTCGCACAGTTTGATTGCAGTGGCATGCGCTAGCCATTTTTGTTGCCCTGAAAGGCAATTCATACAGTTAATGCAGGGGCACATATTCCAGTACCCAAGGATGGACCTCAAGGATCCGTGGTCTGCAGCATTCCCTGTGGACTGTCTAAATCCCCAACAACTACATGGACATCACTGTCGAACAGGCGGACATCACTATCGAACAGGCGCCTGTTCGATAGTGATGGCAATGTAAACTCGTGCACTTGTTCCAACCAATCCCTACCAAAATGAATGTAGAGTATCTGAGTGTATTTTGTGGGTCTCTCATGCCTCTCGCTTCATTCTGCTCATGTCCGCACATAGGAGATGATGCTGCGACAACTCCGAGGCCGTGGTACTTGGCCGTCAGAACGTCAGAATCAATGTTTAGAGACCCTGCATCCCTGTTATCCATTGGGCGATTCTCCATCTCCAGCGCCCGACCCTCAGTTTCTCCAATTCGCTCCTGCACAAGCACCACCTTGGCGTCAAACGTGCGTTGCTATACCCAGACTGAACGGAATATTCAAATTTGTCGAAGCAAAATCGTGACAGTTCAGGCTTATGGCACTGCTCATGTACAAACTTGTGAAACACAAACCACTCAGCGTTTCCTTTGCTAGGAACGAACGAAGCATGCACTTTGCCAGTCCCAGCCAGCCACATTGCACCAGTCGTGACACGTCCAAGGTGTTTGCAAGCACAGCCAGTTGCAAACAACAAGCACCACGAGGCAGCAACGGAACAAGCAGCTGAATCTGGTATTGGTGCGTCTTGTTGAAGAATTCTCTCGGGCACGAAAAACAGTTTACAATGGCGTTCTAGCATGCACTGTAAATCACACACAATTGAACACGTTTTAACACATGTTTCTTGACATTCCTTCGAGTTGAATCTTGGTTCCACCAAATCCTATGCGCAGCGTCGAGGCGTCCAGTATATCCACGTCCAAGTAGCATCATGCTCTGCCTGCAATCCAATGTCCTGCCTCAGCCAGCTGGCCACATCTTGAGCCTAGCAAACTTGGCGAGACCGGGCAACAGGCAACAGGCAATGATTGTTCCAAAAAAACATGTGCATGGCGTGCTTTCAAAAGACAACCACCCAGCTACAAATTTCCAAACCTTTAGTGCTTGTTGGCATTCGTCAAGAACATCAATCCTTTTTTCAGCCATACCTCGCATCGACCTGAGTTCGACATAGTTCGGCTTTATGCTCATGAGAGAAAAACGTTTATATACAGTGTACAGAAATCGCACACTCCAAGCTTCAACTAGGCCCCCTCTGAGGTAGCTTGACAAAGCAAATGCAAACAGCTGCAGGCTGAAAGCAGAACTCATAAATAGAAACAATAAACTATATCGAAGGAGTCGCTGGGGTAGAGCATGTGGACATCATGCCACCGTGGCAACACCATCCCATTGGATCATCTCGCCTTCGTGCCGGCTGGGCCGGCCTTGGACTTGTCAGGATACACAGCACCCACTCAATCTTTTGGCACCTCCCTTGCAAGTTTATGGAAATGGAATGCAGCGCGAGCTGCTCGTTTCATTATTGAGCTGGATATGTTTCAGAAAGAGAGCAAAGCTAGGTAACAAAAAATCATTGCAAGAAGAAACAAAACGCACAACGCTGAAAAAACATCCCAAACAAGGACAATGAACATGCACATGCATACATGTATGATATGAAGGGTAAGTTGCAACGTGCAACATGGAATACAAGCTCAAAAGTGAACAGCTAATTAAATAAATCTATTGAATTCCATAATTACGTCGATATCATCGTCCCCACTGAACAAGACACGCCAGGAAAACACAGTAGTGCTGTGGAGCCTGGCCAGCTGCAATTCTTCGCCCAGCCGAATCCATTCCGCCTGAAGGAGAATAGGCCAAACTGTTGAGCTGAGGCTGCACTTCTTCAAATGGCACGATTATGTTCTCCATTTTGTTCCAGCGACTGGATAGACGTTAACCGTCAAAAGTGACTCCAGGATCAAATAAATACACATAAATACTAAGTACTTGTCAGCCAAGTGATTGAACAACATCCACTAACTTGAGCTGTGGCACACCAAACACTTATACTTATGCCAGGGCTCTGCCAAATCGCTAAACTACAAAATCGTGCTTACAGTTCATTCGGAACAATGCCTGATTCACCTAATCACAAGCTTGAATATGTATGTGTATCCAGATGCAAACACACATTAGTTGCAATCAGCAATCTTTCTCCCATGAGGATGCGTACGCTTTCAGTACAACTTATATACTAAGATTTGTGACAGCATTGGCTCGAGAGCAAAATTTCAAAGGAGGAAAGATATGCTCAACAATTTTAACTAACAATTCGATAGCATCTTTCTCCCGTGACCTTGATCTGTGGACCCTGGATCCAGTGGCAAAGGTAGGCACCGCCAAACCTTGAATGACCAAAAAGTAGCTGAACGACTGGCTCTAAAAGAAGTGGGAACACATACCGCTAAAGGTTTGAATGATCACGGATCGGAGAACCGAAGCGGCAGTGGGGCAGCGGGAGCACCACCACATGCTGGAAACACCGAGCCAAAAGCAAGAGAGAAACCTTGGTTGCCACCTTCAATCCATGGTTCACTAAATCTAAGTAGCACCGTAGCACCGTTTTGGAATCAAATGCAAGAGCCTGCGTGGCATGAGCCCTTCAAGGGATGACTCTGCACAATCTCATGTCTACAGCCTTGTGACAGATTTGAAGCCCAGCAAGCAAAGAAGAGTGACATGAACACTCATGTCTGCACTTTGGTCACCCAAATGATGTCCTGATCCGCGTGCTTGCTCATCCTTTGTTGAGCTTCTCATTCTCTAATCTTGAATGACCCAACTACTGTATCTATATAATTCTATATAAGCGGGCTGTGCTCTCTCTGACAAAGCTGTGATTGATGCCACCGACTCTCAGTTCCGAGCGTGGCAGGGAGCACTGGTGGAACTCCCCCCAATGGCCACCAATGCAGGAGGCCCGCCCACTGAGATGCACACGACATGAAGTTCCAATTCCCACAAAACAATGGACTTGGATACTTGAAACGCACAAGAAACACCGACACCAACTGCCCAAATTCCTGCAATTAGAGTTGGACTTGAGGTACTCGACTCGCGAGATAGTAAGAAAGCAAAGGGATTGATATGGGATTGATTGACCTAGCCTAATCAAGGTGCTCCGCACAAGCATGAAGAACAGCCTAAATAGATAATTAAAGAATTCAATTCAATCTAAAATTGACTGAGACGATGTCAAAGCTGAAAGTGGCCGAGCCTGGTCCCAGTCTCCTCCAGGGCATTCGTTCCCAGAGAGTTGAAGTACTGCCGGCATGCCTGCATTGAAAAAGGCTCCAGGTTGCTGTCGTTTTCAGACTCTTCCAGCAAGCACCCTTGGAACAAGAACCCCCAAGCTCTGATCCCTTTGATGGAAGGGATCTCACCTGTGGAGGGAGCCTCACAATGACAAGTTTCCCTTTGATTTGAGGCATGAAAGAGAAGGAACGGCACATGACAGGCTCAAAACCTTGCGAAAGGTATGCTAGGTTAGGGATACCACCGCTAGCCTTGGGAGTACGTGCCAGGGGCGCGCAGAAGGATCCAAACCCGTGCATTACATATTTAGAAGCAGCATTGTGACGAGTTGTATGCCTTGATTGCAAACACCAGAAAAGGGCTTTCATAGCAGGCATAGCCCACAGCCCAGTGACCCATCTCTTCGACGTCTTCTATCATTTCAGCTTGAAAAGGAACACCTTTGAATGTACAAAAGGAAGCTAGTAGCAAGGAAACCTACTTGCGATGGCCTCCAACCTAATAGCAACATTGCACAGACTGATCAATGGTGATGCAAAACCGGCCAGCTGGACCAATCACTCTGTCAGGCATGCCTCGGTCCTAACAAAGACACTTAAAAAGAACCTCACAACTTCTCCTGCCTGCATCTTCCAGCGGGATAAAGCCTTCCTGCTTACTGCAGCTGGAAATCCACATCTCCACATCCGTAAGCCTGGTGATGCTCATCAATTCGCAGCTTTAGGTAGTTGGGGTTGCATAAGTGGACTTCAAACCAATCTTTCTCAAATCTTGGACCCAACAAACAGGCACAAGGGTTCGAAGCTGTCAATATGGTTGCAAGGCCCTCACCCCCTCTATGCGGATACTGGTACAAACCAAGACGACCAAGACATCCAAACATTCAGGTTGCTTTTGGTCCGTGAATAAAATAACCTGCAACCAGGCTCCCTAGATCCTAGGCTGTCCGGACCGCTTCCCAGCTCCGCCTGAGCCAGCCGGCTGTCCAGGATTGTGCCTGGGCTCTTCGAAGTAAATTACTTACCAAATCTTCTCCAAAGTATCACAGCAAATGAAGCACGAATGCAATGAGTTCAAAAACAAAAGCCATCAATCGGTAACCCGCGCATCCTCAAAATACAATCTCTCGGCCAAGCTCACGAGCTAAAGAAAACACATGCAGTAGGATAAAATTGCGCGTGTGCTTCCAGTGCTTTGTCATGTCTCTTTGCCTGAACTCGTTGCTCTTGCACCAACTCGTGGATTTCCTCCGCCTCTGCAATTGGGCATCGCCGCACCACCAGCAAAGGTGCCCGCACCTTGTACCACGCCTTGCTTCGATTCGGGTTCAAGCTTGTTCCGTACTCCGGTCGGTGGGATGGGAGCCCAAAGTGGTATAATTATAAGAAAGCATACGGCTGAGAATCGGGACTATACTATAGACCAAAGTCATGACTTCTATCTTTGCCCGTTCAAAGAAACACCTCCTAAGCAGTCACTCAGTAGAGAGGAGCAAAGCAATAAACGAGGCACGTCTGCAAAGCTTTGGTGTCAGCATGGAACCAGAAGTCCAGGAAACTGGCCCAAAAAGAGCTTGAACGCACGACATAGCCTACCTTGATGGGAGCACTAAATCATTCCTAGACTGTTAGGTTCCTATCCTCTGAAGCGCGCCCTGCACTTTTTCCTCTCACCCTGGTCGGGTCCGAAGCTTGTATAGCGTACAAGCTATTTGCGTTGGGTAGGCGGGGATCACTTCCCTGCCAGCTGATTCCGTGCCAGGTCACTCCTGGCCGGGCCTCATCTGCTCGCTCCAGATGTCAATACTCTGGATCGGAATCAACTGCGTGTGGCTCACGCTGACCCCGGATGACTTGGCATCCTTCAAGATTGGGGAGTACCTCACAGAGTTGAAAAATTGGGTGGGCTTTAAGAACCAGACAGCCAGGCACTTGAGCCAAAATGGTGTCAGGTTTCCTAATCACTCTGAGGAATGACCACTGTCCAGCCTAGGCCTGCCAAACCTCAGACAGCAATACATTCCTAGACTGTTAGGTTCCTATCCTCTGGCGCCCTGCACTTTTTCCTCTCACCCTGGTCGGGTCCGAAGCTTGTACAGCGTACAAGCTATTTGCGTTGGGTAGGCAGGGATCACTTCCCTGCCAGCTGATTCCGCGCCAGGTCACTCCTGGCCGGGCCTCATCTGGTGGTCACCCGCACCCTAAACTTGGGGCGCTATATGCAGTACTCTGGATCGGAATCAACTGCGTGTGGCTCACGCTGACCCCGGGTGTTCCAAGATTGGGGAGTGCCTCACAGAGGGGTGGGTCAATTTGAAAAATTGGGTGGGCTTTAAGAACCAGACAGCCAGGCAATTGAGCCAAAATGGTGTCAGGTTTCCTAATCACTCTGAGGAATGACCACACTTCACGCGCCAGGGATCCTGGAACCCAAGACGGCTGATAGCGATCCACTCGAAGAACATCCAGCGTTGGAGACCAAAGAGCAATATATGCACAATTTGCGGCATCCGCTCTAGGTCATCGGCGTCCGAGCGGCCTCGGATTAATGCCATCAAGGCTGCGCTGTTGTCCACAAACCACACATGCACCTCGCCTGCCACGGAAGAGGTGGGGACGCGCTGTCAGTGCGAAAATGAGATGGATAAGCTCCAGTTGCGCGATCTTCCGCTTCTATGGTGTAAACAAACTGCACAAAGACCTAGGCATGTCAGAAACGAAGGCTTCGCGGCATTCTTCATGACCATTGAACCATATGATCAAAAATCCGCCGGTGCCTTGAAATGGTACTTCTAATGCGGCATCTGATGCAACCACAAACCTTAGAACTGAGAGATGGATCACTTCCATCACCCGTTCAGGACGAAGTTGGGGAACTGTACGAATGAGCATCAAACTTTCACGGATGGCAGGTGAGAGATCGTGGGAGGTCTCTTGCTGGCGAGCTTTGATGGCTTGAAGGCCACTGCGCCCGATTTTGCCATAAATGCCCTGCTCGAGGAAGCTCATCATATATGCCGTAGATCTTTCTGGCGGTGCCAGAGGTTAATGAACCTGGCCAGGGCATCTCGGATAAAGGATTCCATTTTCTCAAGGAGCCGCTCACGAGGCCAAAAGCGAACCAAACCTTGCTGAACAGCACGAAGATCATGATTGAGACCTAAAAGCAGGCCCGTGGCTTCCCTTGGCTGACGTTGGCAGCTTAATTGGCCCGATCCTTTGGACGACTTCCAGTCGATGATGTTGGCGTCGTCAAAATACAGCGAGGTCAGCCAAAGGCAGAGACGTCTGCCAAGGGCCTCAGCCAACCTGCTGTACCTGTTGAAACTCGCTCGTAAGGAACGCAGGATGGCTGGATTGAACGATGATGCAACGCGGGAGCTTCGCTCTGCTCAAGGAGGACTGCGTCATGTAGCGCTGGTTTGAGTTGCTCCATGATGGCGAAATTGTGCGATTGCCATCCATCAAGCACCTCATCCATGGTGATGGGCCTGCCAGGTTGGACAGGGAAAATACCATATGGAGGCGCTGGCCGACGGCTGGCATGCCACGAACCAACCCGTAGGGATAACTGGTATCGGCCCACAACATCGACATGATCAGGAGGGAGGTCAGTCCTAGGCGACGAATGGCCGGAGTTTGCAGGCTGCGCAGCCTGTCGGTGACCGAACTCCACCGTCGCTTTGAGTTCGTTGAGGGCCTCAATAGCCTGCTTGCGCAATGCTTGGAGTTCCTTGGGTGGCATCCAACGCTGTTCGGCGCAAAACCAGAGGTCATCATCCAACAGCGGCAACCGGTCGGCAAGGGTCAGGTTGCAAGGACTGACGAAAGTGTTCATCGACGGACAGCCCGCCTTGTGGCTCAAGGCTCCTGCGTGCTGTCCCTCAGCATGTCTCTGCAGCGTTCCATATTCTTGGAAGCGCCAACGAGTGTAGGTGTCAAAAGGGAAGGCGCTGACCAAGTCCTCACAGAGAGACCACCCTCAGCGAGCTTGGTCGCCCGCTTTGTGATGGTGCGATGGGTGAGAAGGAGTAGTTGAACACCAAGCCAGCTAGCTTGGTCGCTGGGCGTAGGGGGCCTCCGCCGGTGTCACTCACCAACACACACCCCTGCAGCTCGCCTAAAGCGTCGCCTGAATGTAAGTGACATATCGTCCACAGAACAGTCCACAGAACAGTCCACGGCTGGTGTGAACGGCGGGTGGTGGGCAGCCGATGCCAATGGTGTCCTTGATCGACATAAACGTGGTAAGCTGGACGCTGGCCGTCCACCAGCACAGAGTCCACTTCGACGACCACGCGCGCTCGAGATCGCTCTCGGGAATCAGGTGGTGTTAGACCCAAGCTGATCGCCAGGGGAATCATAGCCCATTCACGCAAGGCGCGCGGGTCCAAATAGACCCAACGTGTGCGATGGCCAGTCGTCTCCACTGGGGGTGCCCAGCTTCAGCTTCGCATAGCCCACGCGCACCGCCCATGCAGTAGGACACAGAGACAGCAATGGAGAACTCCGCCTCTTCCTTGCTTGGGTAGATCTTGGCGCCGTCCAGCTCGAAGGGGGCCCATTCGTCGGCTGAGTCGGTGGCCAACTGCTGATCTCCTCAATGTTGTGGCGAAGGTGTTGATGTTTGGCACGAGCCCCTGCAAAACAGCAGGCTGCGTATAGGTGGTGTATCCTGCCACTTGCCGGGCTCCATCATCGCCTTCTCTCTCCTTGGGTAGCTCACAATGCAGGGAGTTGCGAGGGTTCTCGCGGATCAACCCTCCGCCTCGACCCAAGGCCTGGATCTCGTCCAGAACCCACCTGAGCTTTCTGATGGCCGGACATTAAGTCGGAAGCCCTTCTGGGTGTGTCGTGGACCTCAATGGAGGTGGGCCTGCCATCCGAGAATGTATTCCAAGCACGAGACTTAGAACTGCAATCCAAGGCTGCAAAGAGAAACGTTGCCTCTTGAAGTTGAGCGTGAAGAGATTTCTGACGAAGAGCCATCGTGATGACTTGCCGCCCGCAAAAGATGAAGGCCTTCATCAAAGGAGCGTTCGGTCCTGCCATGAGGTCCACCTCCTGAAGCAGCCCTGAGGCCCTTTTGTCGGGCACTGAGGCGTTTGTCCACAGGCCGTCTGATTCTCCACTCATGCCCGTGGTGCGGTGCGACACTGGCTCGCACCATGGCTGGAAGCTCCACAAACTCGATCTTTCTTTGTCACCAACCCACGCGATGAGCCCTGTGCACATTTGCCCTTGGTGGAATGCGTCTGACTGGCTTGGAGCAGGCGTGAGGACCTGAAGATCAGTGAAGACAGCGACATCAATCCCCTCGCGGTCCCCGCTCTGGCATCTAGGCTCACGTCACTCCTAACCAGACAGCCAGTTTGGGTCAAGGCACTTGAGCCAAAATGGTGTCAGGTTTCCTAATCACTGAGGGAATGACCACTGTCCACCCTAGGCCTGCCAAACCTGAGACAGCAATAGGCTTGTTTAGCTATTGCATCTACTGTACCAAGGCAAAACGGACACAATGAAAGCTGCTGAATGAGAGCTTAGCAAGCTGATGTGAAAAGGACTGGTGCTAATTGCCGGAATTGAGCAGGTTGTCAATCACACATGTGTCTTGACAATTCGGAATCTAAGTAGTCGACCTTCTTTTGTGCAGATGCTCACCAAAAAACCTACAAAGACCTACTGTACTGCTGATAAACATGCTTCCTGATGCCCAGCCAAGCCCAGCTGCCACATCGTCCTCCATGTTGCCATGGCTCAGAAGGCTGGCCCAACCATCTCCCTGTCATTCAAAGTTGCCTTTGTGCTTTGTTCACCGGTCTGTCGGCTCTCCTGAAACATCAAACGCTCGAAACACTGAATGGTGCAGTGCTACACCAACCAAGAGATCCTAGCTCTAATGTATTCAATATTCTAATGTGGAACCTTAGGAAGCAGAAACCCGAACCTTAACTCTCAACTTCAAGCTGTCGTTATTCTAACTCCATGCTACTGTGTGGTGTCGCTTCTGTATTGTCCATACACTGCAAGAATTATGTTGTGCACCACATGTTCTGATCTGCTGAGCTCAAACAATCTGGGATATATCAGACTGGCATCTTCGGACAACCTGCTTGTGGTCGTTGACCACTAGGCCAAGCAAGCAGCACTGCAATGTAGATCGGGAAACCATCAATTGCCTTGGAACCTACACCCTACACAACATGAATTGACTCTTAAAGAGGTCACTGTAACAAGTTCAAGAGGATGCACCAGCCTCTTTTTTGAATCCATTTCTTTGATCAAGGAACTCTACTCAACAGATTGACACAAGGTCTTTTTGACGCATCTGTGGACGCACCCATCATTTCATGGGCTGGCCGCAGCTCTCGCGAGGACTCAAGCTACCTCCAACGGAAAGAGAGAGAGAGAGAGTGAGTGAGTGAGTTCGACAACTCGACAACTAACATTGCAGTTGTCTAAAGAGTTCCTGTGTGAAGAAGATCATTGTTAATCAGGGGGCAAACCCCAGTTGCAAAATGCAGTACAGTCTGGCACAACGGCCTTCTGGTGGCTCGAGTGTCTAGGTCTAGGTGCTGAGAAGTGGACATCACATGAACATTGGCGAGACAACGATTGTTCATGGATCGCGACAAATGCACTGGTTGCAAAAGCTTGTTTATCTTGTTGTCGATCGTCCCCTCATAGCTGCACATGGTGGACACTGCCCAAAGATGTGCTCAACCAGTCCCCTCTCGCCTCTGGCTTGAAGAGGATGAGGAGGAGCTGCCCAGTGCGGGGCGAAACTGGTTTGCTTTCAAACTTGCACAAACTATTATGTGCTTAGATGAACTATCTGATTACCTGGAAAGGAGTTTTGAGAGAATCGTGCGACTAGCAACCTTTCTAGATTAAAGGGTTCATGGTGTGTATCATGTATCACTGCAAAGCAGCTGACGTGTCTTTTGATCTGTGGCCGCACTATTCTCATCTATTCTCCCTTAGCGCCCATTATCTTCCCAACGGTGATTCTGAAGAACGGGTCCGTCCGGCATATTTGCTCCGTTCGTAGCGAACCTTGTTACTAGTAGGGCCAGGAGCCCCTAGTAGCGTCCTTGCTCCTAGTATCGACGCACCTTGCTACTAGTAGCAACTGTAGTATATATGCGAAGCAACCAACAAAGGGCAACGTCCACTGTCGGCCTCCTTCGTCTTAACTTCTCCTTGGCCTGAGACAGTGCATCATTGGCATGAATTGGTGTACTCCTGTGTTTTCAAAACGTGGCAGGGACTGGTGGCAAGATCAACCATGCTCACTATCCAGGGATTGATGTTAATGTCCGATCCTACCAAAGCCCTATGTGATGTTTCTTACACTTCTTCATATCTACACTTCAATAAAAAGACTCGCAAAATCGCCAACCAGCCCTTTTAAGATTCTTTCACGACCCTTCAGCAACCTCCAGCACGAACAAAGAGAACGGTTTTAAAAGCCTTTGTCGGGTCGTGGGCATGGAATCGTTGTGAACTTCTTTTTTCCAGTCTCGTATTGCCTTGCTGTCACATGGCATATCGTGACATGTCCAATCCAAACGGTGATGCCTTCGAGCGCTTGGCGCTGGCGCTAGAGCTGCTGGGCTCACGTGCCTCCAAAAAGTGATAATCAAAATTGTCTGCCAAGTCCCTAAAACAGCCAAAGCACGAGGTTCAATCAAAAGGTAGTTGCTTGTCTTCTTTCCAATAGAGAAAAACATAGAAACACACTATTCCGTTTGAACCGTCGCAACTTATTTTCAGATTATGTGGTTAATACTTTGATGTCATGAAGGATACCTCATCTGACCATGACCAGTTCAGTTGACACTTACAAATCAACTGGCAAATGTTTGATGCATTGCATTTCCAGAACCTTACTAGCTACATTGAGTGTTTGTGAATACCAGTCTTTGGAGATTGATTTCCCCTACAAACGGGCGCGTGCACTTTCATGATGATTTGAAGGTGCGGATTTTTTTCTATATACTTTGATATCATTTCGGTTGCTCTGAGTGTTTGGCGGCGCGCCCACGCCCCCAAAATGGAAATCTCCCCAACATCCCAGTCACTAGAAAAATCATCTGGGTTGTCAGATTCAGCGGTTCACCCACATCATAATGACCAGGCCTGCATGTTTTGGTTGCCTCCAATGCGACATGAAAACAACAGGACCTGACACACACACACACACAACCCTAATTTTTCATCACATACCTGGCCTTCCGAGGTGCCGATGAGCTGCTCCTGAGATTGGCCCAGTCTAAACAATGATGATGCGTGTAGCGAATTTGCTGACGTTGCGGCTCAGCAAACACATATTCTACAGATTGAAATCGATAACCGAACATCACGATCACTTTATATAGTGATGGCTAACCATGAGCTCTTGTCCAAAGAAACAATCAAATATATAATTAATTCGATGTGCTTCTTCTCTCAATAATCGAAGTAATAATGTGCTTCTTCTTAATAGCTTCCTGTCTGGCACCTGATATCTTAAGCTCTTCTCAGCTGATTGTGCGCCAACTGCCAAATTCGTCCCTCCCTCCCTTCCTGCCCTCCCTGCCACGCTCGCCCAGTCGGTTTTGATATATATATATATAGTGCAGCTTTCAGAAGAAGCTGTAGCAACAAAAAAACAAACTCTACTTTGGGTGATTCCCAGGACATGCCAGACATGCGGGTTGACACAATGTTCTGACGCTTGTTCTGGCATCAAGTCTGGCTTGATCTGGAGCTTGCTTGCAGTTGGGGTCCGGGAGTGCCAAATGTGATCTGGAGCTTGCTGTTGAGGTCCGGTAGTGCTCACTGCGATTTGGCGCTGGCTGTTGTGAGGACGAGGAGGAGGAGGAGGAGGAGAAGTCACCTGAGCTATCTCCGCTTGCAAAAAAGATCTGGGGTCCCATGCTTTCTCTTCTTCTTCTTCTTGCTGTCTGCCTCGTGGAATGCTTATGTGACACCAAGTTTTGCTGCGCTCATCGGTCGTTTGACACCTTTGGCTTGGCTGCAAAAAGGCAGAGCGATCAACTTACATATATAATTCCAGTGTTCCTCCATGTTCATCCTTTCATCGATTCAAAATAGAGCCGCTTCGGCCAGTACCCATCTTGCTACACCCTTCCTGTCTGATGTGTGGCACTTTGCCTTCTTTTCCTTGGCAGCCTTGGCTGCTGCTTTGAAGGCAGCTGCACGACCGGGCCTCAGCATTATGTTGCCAAGGATCTTAGCAAGTTCAGCCAAGACATGCAAAAACTGACGCAGCAGTTGGTTGGACATTTATCAGCATAGGCTTGGCGGCTTGTTGGGTAATTAAAAATGTCAGCATGATTTTGTATTCCGACAAACATGGCAAACTGAGACATCATGCATGTACTACTTACTGCACCTCTGATGAGTGTAAACGAAACAGAGTATCATTGCGAATGACAATGAGAAGGGATCCACCCTGAGGATCTGCCTTTTCGACCAAATGGCGAATGACGAAACATGACGAAACTACCCCTTGATCCTTCTGAGTTTTGAAGATCAGTGCAATGCAGCCCCCATCGCGCAGGAACATCATGTTGCGCCAGTGATGCCTGACCAACCTTCAGTATCTGAGTAATCAGAAGGATCGAAAGAACATAGAAAAGGAGGAAGGACAAAGCCATGTAATGTACATGACATGTACTATTGCCAAGTACCCAAGTACCTGTGTAGGGAGCCCGACGCTGCTGATGAGGTGGCAGTCACCAATGCACGCTGGAGGCGGAGGCGAGAATGGAGTTGGAGTGAATGGAATGGATCTCAACAAATCTCAACAGTCAAAATGAGGACCCAGCCGTTTACGGAATAAGTAATAATGGATAACATGGACACGCTGTATGTATGGCGCTGGAGTCCAACACCGTGACTTCCTGTGCAACCACAAATTCCGAACCTGGAGGCGGACATGGCTTGCACAACAAACCACGAACAACATCATAGTGCATATGGCATATGACCCCTATAACTGCATATAACTATAATACAACTACAGATCAAGCCCCGTGGAATCCTTTGCTGCTGGATCGCAGCTTCGCAGCTCAGCCAATTTTACAGCAAGCGGCTATGCTCTCTCTGAAACACATTGATCACCTTTCGGTCAAACAACGTTTGGAATGCACTTGAGTAGTAGGGCCTGTGAGTACTCATTTCAGACCGAAAAGTGTATCCAATCTTACATTCTGGTGGTTACACTGACTCAAACTCAGCATATCTCGATCCACTTCGTAAACCCAAGTGTTTCCTTACACACGGCCTCGTCATCTGAGTCTGCAAAGCGACTCCAAAGATCGCTTTGCTGCAGCTGGTGAACCTGTGTAACAAAGAGTGAAATAAAAATTAAACCGACAAGTTGTAACGATGTTTGAGACTTCACGAAGTACTATCAAGATCTCTCAAAATGGTTTGGGTAAGGTCGCTGCAAAAAACTATCTTGAGGCCTGCTGCAACCGTTTCATTTAGCATGCAACCGGATCACAACCGTGACAATGCGGGAAACAACTAGCAAACAAACTGTGCATGCCACGCAAAATGAAAACACAAACAAAAACGAGGCAACGTTCCACATGTCTCGTGGCATCCTGTGGCCAAAACATGCTATCAGTAAAGCCTGCGCATTTTGGAGCGCCGCCTTTGAACAAAATCGGTAACCAGGGTCGCCACTCGAAACGGTGATATCATCATGTTTCCAGGTTGATTGAAAGCGAACTACTGAACAGCAGCCAGTTCGTCATCAATTCTGATGACTTTGTATCCCCCAAACACTTAGTATGTTTCTTTCAGAACCCCCCCAAAAAAGAATTGTTTTCTCTCTTTTTCTTCCAACCACTGGCATGGCATGGCCCAAGCCGGCCTGCTGTGGCTGGAGATCATCAAGTTCTTGCCGCAGCATGCTGATCTAAGCCGCGACACATCTCACACTGTATGACTCACACCCGTTGATGAAAAAATTCAACGCCAGGAGTGTCTCAATAACGTCAATAACTGTCTTTATATCAAGGATGTTGGTGGCATGACAGGCGATGTGGAAAAACACAAAACAAAAAACTATTCAGCTTGCTGCTGGACCAAACTAACAACTATTTGTGTCCAAAAACTCACACTCAGCCTTCTGCCATTTGAGTGCCCCAAGGCATAACGTCGTCAATGTTTGCCGCAAACCTGTAACGTGGCCAGCTGCTGTGCACGAGTGAAGAACTGTAGGGTGGGTTCGATGCATGGTCAACCCAGAAGCCGGTCGTCATGCAACACACTACGAACAATTCAAGAAATCTCAGGTCGGCGATGGGATACACACACACAAACAACGACAACACACACTCGAGATATTGCGTACTGAATTGAGTGCCGCATGCGACACGCCCACCTGGGTTTGAAAGCCTAAGAGGTCAGGTAAAGGTATGTAAGGCGGGTTGACCATCAACCTGAAAGTCATCACATTCTAAAGTCACGAGCTCGAAGAAGTCGACGAGGATTCGAGCGACGAGCGCTTGTCTACAGAACTCAAGACAGGGGCAAAGGCTAGCAATCTTGTTATAGTTAATACGTGGCCCAGAAATGTCAGGTAAAACTCAGCTGCAGGTACGTCGGAGTGACCAGCTCCATGAACAGCTTCGTTGGCAGTAGACTCATGAGTGAGCTACGGACCCCTGCTTCAAAACATTAGCAAATCAACGGGTTCCCTGTGACTCGAAGGGTTTCACACACACACACACGCCTCCCACAAGGGGAGGCAATGAAGCTAGTTGACTCTGAGACTTTCACACACGCGACCCCCAGCGTGGGGGGGCCAAAAATTAAGGGACAAACGGCCAAAAAGATGAAGACGTGAAAACGGGACACGACAGGACAAAAGTGTGTGTGGAAACCAAATGTACAGGGACAAACAGTGAACTGGACCTCATTGTCAAGACCTGAAACCTGGGTTGAAAGTAGATGCGTGTGTGCACGCTAGGAGCCGGACCATATGCGCGCGCAAAAGAAGGAGCGGAATGAGATGACGGGGTGACACGAAGCCGGACAGGACATGAAACAAAAGAAGGAAAGAAAGTGTATGTGAAGGGGACAACTATGAAACGGGAACCAAAAGGAGGGGTCGGAAACCAACGAAACCAAGATAGACCTAGCCTGGTTTAAAATGCGCATGCTGTGTGTGCATGAGTGGGCTACTACCGTTAAACAAGTAGCAAATCAACGGGTTCCTGTGACTCCAATGGCTTCACACACTTATTGACGTGCATACTGATTCGGTTGCGGTTGCCACACGCCGGCCTGAGTGAAAAACATCAGACCTAAGAGCCCAGGTAAAAACACCACCAAATGACTTCCCTCAAAGCAGCGAGAACCCTACAGAATCCTGCAGACCTCCAAGTTCAAACTTCAAGCTCAAAACCAAAAGCCAGCGCGTGACTGCCGATGGTGAACCGATGCAATGGCTGGATGGCTTGTTCTAGCTAAAAACAGGGGCCGACAGCTTAGGCCCGGTCAACAGCAGGTATGTTTACACAATCGCTGCGTGAGCATCTTCGTTGGCTCTCGTCTCACGCAGGCTTCGAGAGTCCCCTGCTCAACAAGTTAAAAGAAAAACCAAGCCAAAAGCATCCTTGTGACCCCAAGGGTTGCACACACAGGCCTCCCGTTAAGGGAGGCGAGAAAAACTAAGGTTGCGACGAATGTGCCACTCGTCGGGGGGCTGACACTAAGGTCAGACACACTTGCTGACGTGCGCGCTGATTCGGTTGCGGTTGCCACACGCCGGCCTGAGTGAAAAACCTAAGAACCCAGGTTAAAACACGACCAAACGACTTCCCTCAAAGCAACGAGAATCCTACAGACCTCCAAGCTCAAACTTCAAGCTCAAAGTCAAAGGCCAGTGCGTGACTGCCGATGGTGAACCGATGCCATGGCTGGATGGCTTGTTCTAGCTAAAAACAGGGACCGACAGCTTAGGGCCCACCAGCTGCACTTAGATGCCCAGGTGTGGTCAACAGCTTGTGCATTTACACAAGCGCTGCGTGAGCGTCTTCGTTGGCTCTCGTCTCACGCAGGCTTCGAGAGCCCCCTACTCAACAAGTTGAAAAGAACAACCAATCCAAAAGGATCCCTGTGACTCCAAGGGTTGCACAAACAAACACACACTAGGGATCAGAGTTCACGCGGAGTTTGCCAATCGAAAAGGCCTGGTTCAAAGGACCTAAGAAGCCAAAAGGAAGCACTTGGGGTCCAGCCAAATTCATGTACTTCAAGTAGCTTACAAAGCTCTGCGCTCATGTACTTCAAGAAGCTCAAAAGGCTCCAAGCTCATGTACTTCAAGAAGTTTAAAGGCTCCAAGCTCATGAGTTCAAGAAGTTTAAAGGCTCCAAGCTCATGAGTTCAAGATTTTTTTAAAGTCTGCAGGCTCATGAGTTCAAGAAGTTGAAAGGCTTCAAGCTCATGATTTCAAGAAGTTTAAAGGCTCCAAGCTCATGATTTCAAGAAGTTTAAAGGCTCCAAGCTCATGAGTTCAAGAAGTTTACAGGCTCCAAGATCATGAGTTGAAGAAGTTTAAAGGCCCCATTTTTTGTAGGGCAAAAAGAAGAGAACACATACCGAAAGGCCCTTGTAAATCCAAAAGACCCCCCTCTACACACTCGAGATATTGCGTACTGAACTGAATGCCCCACGCAACACGCCCACCGTTTGAAAGCCTAAAGGTATGTAAGGCGGTTTGACCTTCAACCTGAAAGTCATCACATTCTAGAATCACGAGCTCGAAGAAGTCGACGAGATTTCGAGCGACGAGAACTTGTGTACGGAACTCAAAACAGGCGCAAAGGCTGGCACTCTTGTTGTTGTAATTACAACGGGGGCCCCGTAGGATATGTCCCCCGGCGTGGAGGGGCCACAAACTAGGGGACAGACTAATGTGCCCCTGCGCGCGCAGCAAGGCTAAAAAGATGAAGACTCGGAAGACGTGAAAAGGGGACACGACAGGACAAAAGTGCGCGTGGTTGCGACGAAGGGGAAACCAAATGTACAGGGACAAACAGTGAACTGTACCTCATTGTTAAGACCTGAAACCTGGGTTGAAAGTGGATGTGCGCATGCGTGCTAAAAGCCGGACCAATGTGCGCGCGCAAGAAGGAACGGAATGGACATGATTCGAAAGAAGGAAAGAAAGTGTATGTGAAAGGGAAAAGGATGAAAGCCACGGGCACCAAATGGAGGGGTCGGAAACCAACGAAACCAAGCTATTAGAGCGGACCTAGGTAGACCTAGCCTGGTTTAAAAATGTGTATGCTGTGTGTGCATTTCAGGCTTTGACCGCTTGGGTCACCTTGCGCCGTGCCAAAATGGCAGGCGACTTGAGTCCGCTGCGGACAACTCTTGGCTTGCCTGAAGGCTCCCTACTCGGTTGCAAAAGCCCATCAATTCTTAGCGAAACTTTGGCGCAAGCCTACTCCGTCCGCTCCGGACACCTCCGTTTCCTAGCAATGGAAACATGGACAAACCCTTGCTCAGCAAGGCCACGGGGGCCACACTCGAGATACTGCGTACTGAACTGCATGCGCATGCCACACGCCCACCTAGGTTTGAAAGCCTAAGAGGTCAAGTAACGGTATGTAAGGCGGTTTGACCTTCAACCTAAAAGTTATTACATTCTAGTTACAGGCTCGAAGAAGTCGACGGGGATTCGAGCGACGAGTGCTTGTCTACAGAACTCGAAGCAGGTGCAAAGGCTGGCAATCTTGTTGTCATTAAAACGGGGCCCAGTAGGACATGCGGGGTAAAACTCAGCAGCAGGTACATCGGAGTGATCAGTGCAAGTACCAGCCCAACGACGAGGCATGCGTTGAACACTGATATCGGTGGGGACGCTCACCGACGTACCTGCTTCTTTTGAACTTTTGAACAAGTTGTGACCCTACTTTCCTGTAAAGGGCTAATGAGCTTGGCAGACACGCGCGTCCGTCGTCACCCTGTCGTTCGGCCTCGACTTGAGTTTTTGGCCTCACCTCCTTTTGAAGACCCCCAGGCTCTTTAGGACTTTCCTGGACCTTTCAGGATTTGGGTTCTTAGGCTGGCGTGTGGCCTGTGGCATTCAGTTCAGTACACCCAATCATAAGGGTGTGTCAAACCCCGTTCCAAGGGGCACTAACCTACCCTACCCTACTCTACTTTTTACGCCAAGTTGTGCAGCAGCAGGGGAGTGCGGCGTGATTGTGGCGCCGGCATTGGCAGTCAACTATCCCCAGCACTTTGCAACGTTGCCACCACCCTCGTGGAACACTCCTGGCGCGAAACATACCATACTTTTCTTCAACAACCCAGTCTTCATCTTTTCAACACTCATTCCGTCGACAACCGATACATCTCTGCCCATCACCACATTAGCCCATCCAGATTTCTACCGAAATCCAGTGGAACTCGAGATAGTGGAAGACAATCACACTTTTGGGTTTTCTCGTCAACCCACAAGCACAAACACGAACAATCACCTTCCAACTCCCATCTCTCCCTTAGCAGATCTGAGACATCCAATCTGCAGGAAGCTACCGCCTGCGATAATCCGACCTACAATCCAGCCCTCACCGTACAGGCATCGGTACAGCTACATGTGGCAAAACGTCACTCTATAGTACACTCGCTGCAGCGTTGCGGCCCCATCAGCAAAAGAAAACGAGCTAGCAGAATTGATTGCGTCCAACTTGCACTGCTTTGCACTAGAGGCGCCGGTGCGGCTTGTTGTGTGTGTCAAACCCCGTTCCAAGGGCACTAACCTACCCTACTCTACTCTACTCTGCTCTACTCTACTCTACTTTTTACGTCAAGTTGTACAGCAGCAGGGGAGTGCGGCGTGATTGTGGGACCGCGCTCAACGAAGCTACCACAATCACGGGATACCGAGTCTGATCAACTCGGCGTACCTGTTTGAATTTCAGTGATGTAAACCATACTGTTCTCTGACTTTTTCACCTTGCCGTTCTTCACAGGGTCATTTCACAGGTTGAGGCTTGAGCGCTCTAGACCGGTATTGCAGTAACTAACTCTAAAGTGCTAATGCTCACCGCGACTCTCTGAAGCCACGCTCCACGGAGCACTCATCCTAAGTGTGTGCGTGCGTGCGCGCACAAAAGACAAGAAGATGAAGACATGAGAGGAAGACGAAACAAAACGAAAGTGTGTGTGGCTGCGATGAAAGAGAAACCAGATGAACAGGGACGACGGATGAACCAAGCCTCATTGTCAAGACCTGGGCGACCTGAAGCCTGGGCTGAGTGTAAAGTAAATGCGATCGGACACGCTAAGGGACGGACCGATGTGCACGCAAAAGAAGGAAAGGAATGAGATGACAGGACATGAAGGCGGAGAAGACGTGAAGAGAAAAAGGAAAAGGGGAAGAATGAAGGGGGGAACCAGATGGAGGGGCCGCCAACAACAACGAATCCAAGCCTCATTAAAGCAGACCTATGTGAGCCTAGCCTGACTTTGGTATGTACGAGCTGTGTGTGCTACCCCAAGGGGCCTGGAAAAAACTCTGGCCGCTTCGGCTACCTTGTGCCATGCCAAAATGGCGGGCGACTTGAGTCCGTTGCGGACACGTTTTGGCTTGCCTGAAGGCTGCCTGCTTGTTTTCCTGTAGTTCAACAAGTCCTGACAAACGTTTGCACTAAGGCTCCTTCTGTCCACTTCGGACACCTCGTTCCCGGGCAGGGGGAAATTGGACAAACCCTTGCCACGGGGGAGACTCTTCGGGCTCACCCCGGGCTCCCACCAAGGGGAGACACTCGAGATATTGCGTACTGACACGATTTGCGGTTTGCCACACGCCAGCCCAAGTAAAAACCTCGGATCAAAACCCTTAAGCGCAATATCTCCCAGGAAAGTTATGATCCAACCAAAGTATCTTCAAGCCCTGGTGACTACACCCTTCACCCATGATGTTTTGGAAATCACCCAGGACTTCTATTCACTTCCGTTTGTCATACTTGTGGCCCAACATCTGAATACCGCTTACCAGGCGGCGGACATGTTGCAGCTGGGCACCTAAAAGGTTCAAACGACGCGATGAGATTGTGTAACATTGTAACATTCAACATAATCGAACATATATATAACCTAGTGACCTAGTCTGATTCTACAAGTTACATCATACACGTATATAGTGCTGAACACTAATTAGAGGGCATTCCAAACTGACCCGTTCCTGCCGTGACTGACTGTAGTTCCTTGAGCTGGGCGCTGTGATTAACTTGTATCTATGATATCTATGTATACAAGTCTAGAATAGTCTAGACACAGTTCTCTATCTTGAGCCACCCGTCACAGCCTGTTGTTGCATACAATGTCCAGGAATTGAGCGGATGTCATTGAGCGACGTCTCAACAAAGGTAAAGCCTGCGATGGCAAGGTTACGCCCAAGTATAAGAGTCTTAATTACCCAACCGGCCAACACCCCTATGCATGGAGGCACATTGTCCATGCTCATTGTTGATCTTGTGCGAATAACATTGCAAACATGTTTGACCACTGAAAACAACGATAGCGTGAAAATCTTGAAAGGTTTGGATCAGTGCTTTATAAAGGCACAACCCAGCGTCTCGCCTTGCAAAGCCAATTGATCTTGGCAGGACCTGCGAGAAAGAAACCATTGGCTCGACCTTTCCTCACCAGAAGGTCGAACGTGTAAATCCACTGCGTGGTCCTATTGCGAGTGCTCCCTCAGAATCAGCTTCCAGCGCACAACAACAAAACATCTATACACTGTACTTTAGACAGCGCGGGCAACCCGGCCTGCTATTTCGCGACCAGCCGGCCGGCCGGCTGGCCAAATAGCGGCCGGCCAAGTAGTAGTAGTAGTAGTAGTAGTAGTAGTAGTAGTAGTAGTAGTAGTAGTAGTAGTTAGTAGTAGTTAGTAGTAGTAGTAGTAGTAGTAGTAGTAGTAGTAGTAGTAGACTAGTAGTAGTAGACTAGTAGTAGTAGACTAGTAGTAGTAGACTAGTAGTAGTAGACTAGTAGTAGTAGACTAGTAGTAGTAGTAGTAGTCGTAGTCCTAGTCGTAGTCCTAGTCGTAGTCGTAGTCGTAGTAGTAGTAGTAGCAGTAGTAGTAGCAGTAGTAGTAGTAGTAGTAGTAGTTAGTAGTTAGTAGTAGTAGTAGTAGTAGTAGTAGACTAGTAGTAGTAGACTAGTAGTAGTAGACTAGTAGTAGTAGACTAGTAGTAGTAGTGTAGTAGTATAGTAGTATAGTAGTATAGTAGTAGTAGTAGTAGTCGTCGTCGTCGTCGTCGTCGTCGTCGTCGTGGTCGTCGTCGTGGTAGTAGTAGTAGCGATTTCTTCCACGGCCGGCCGGCCGGCTGGCACCTTGATCGGCCGGCCGGCCGGCTGGCACCTGGAGCGGCCGGCCGGCCGGCTGGCCATAGCGGCCGGCCGGCCGGCTGGCCATAGCGGCCGGCGGGCCGGCCATGTAGTAGTAGTAGTAGTGGTGGTGGTAGTAGTAGTAGTAGTAGCCGACGGTCGTTGATCAGCCGGCCGGCCGGCCGGCTGGGCTGTGGATCTTGGCCGGCCGGCCGGCTGGCTGGACCGTGGATCTTGGCCGGCTTGGCCGGCCGGCCGGCCGGCCAGCTGGACCGTGGTTCTTGGCCGGCCGGCCGGCTGGCTGGCTGATCGAGAAATAGCGGGCCGTGATAAGCTCGCAATGCAAATAATCGTCCTAGCCCGACTCTTCATCTTGAGCTCGGAAACAGTATCAAGGCCATGGAATCCAATCCGGATTCTTGACTTGCCACCTGGACTGACATAAACCGTGCGCACACAAGGCCGTCAGTAGCTAGCATGATGCCACAAAATGCCACTGGCATGAATTGTCAGTTACTTGTCCGGGGCAACCATAGCTTCAACCCATCCAATCGAACTGGGCCAGTTCAAGGACAAAGTGTTTCCCTCCAATTCCCTCCCATCATCGCCCCTAAACTCCACACTGGGCTATCCACCATCAAGTCTCACCACTTTCTGTACTTCTCTCGTCACCCCCTGGCCAAGAATGAACATGTCATCATGTCATTGAGTACCGACAACACAAAATTAACACATGATGAAACATGATGGATATCTTGTGACCAATGTGAAAACAAAAGGCTACGCGCCAAGGGCTATGCTCCCAAAAAATGTTGCAAAGCTGTTACTTAATGGGTTGTCCCACATCCCAAGATTAAATTTTACATATCATGATACAGTATCTCGGAAGGGATTGATGCTATCCGGTAACCAGGTATGGTTCAATCTCTCAATGATTCACCAGTGGTTTTACTTGGTTCACCTGTCGGTCCTCAGCATATCGACATCAGTCCATGAGGAAACTAGTCTTGCGACAACACTATCAAACGTTCCCACCCTACCAGTCTCTTCTCACCGAACCAAGGAAAAAAGCAAGCTTTTTGATAGACTAGCTATTAATAGTTCATACAAGCTACGTCAAAACACACGTTTTCTCTCTCTCTCTCTGTGCGTGTTCGCTGCGTGTTGGTGTGTTTTTCCACTGCGTTTGCTCAGCGTGCTTTTTTGGCTCGACAGTTGTTTTCAGTCTTCGTACGCAACTGTGTGATGCTAGTAAACGATAGTAAACGCAAATGCGTCTGCCATGCCACATGAACAATAAACTGCATGGCTGCCATATGGCTCTCAATGCCTGCACACCGTGTTTTGACATGTTTTTGAATGCCTCTTCTTAGCTTGTGGGGTCGTATTATGTACAACCTCGACGACGTCAAGGTCGCCGTCCCACCAGGCCCTGTCCGTCAAGTTTTTTGCGCTATGCGTGTCATAAATTTAAATGCGTTTTTGGGACTGCGAAAACGCATTTGGCTTGGCCAGGTTCCTTTCTCTTCCCAGATGCATTTTCAGGGGCGCAAAACTTGCAAGCCGTGCGTTGTCCGTGCAACAGCCAGGAGACAACCAAACAAATCCAAACAAATGCTTTTAAGGGGATCAAAGCTGGCAAGGCTCGAGAAACTTTCTTCGCATGATCCGTGACCGGCTGTCACTGTAACACTGACAATGACGTCAAGGTTGTACATAACAGGAAACACTTTTTACATTTATAACAATAAGAAGGAGAGCAAACCAAACACACTGCTTGAGCAAAACAACTCTGATTTTGAATGCATAAACTCAACCAGTTCTGCATTTCCCTCAATGCAAAAGACACGTACAACTCCACGGTTCCCACCATTCTACTTACAATTCTGTTTACATAGCACCGCTGCGTGTTCAATGTGCCTGCGTGTTTCCAAATGCCTTTCGTGTTTAAGCAACATGCGTGTTTTCTCAACTCAGGAGTACTAGTGTAAGTCCAAATTGGAACCAACAAAGCCACATGTGTACCACAAATTTCCAAACCGGTCCTGTCGAAAGTCTGCTAAACCCAATGTCCAAAGCATCCGGTTCTTGTCGTTCTTGCCTCTCCATCATCTTTGGCGATGGCCTCCGGAAGGATGATCAACCCAACAAATACTATAATTGCATTACAACTACAAACAACATCTGAGCATTTCACCGTGGACATGACATGCACCATTTTTCAAGGTGGGGTATGTACGGCAGACCACACAACACACCTGGAGCAAACAATGAGAGAAAACAACAAAACCACATGTAACAGCTTACAAAGCCTTTTTTGGTGGATGCGATCTTCAGAAAGCATTCGCTAGAGCTTGTTGGCCTTTCTTCAATTACGCTCTACCCAGCATCAGTGGGTCCACGAAGGGTGACAATGCCCTCACTCCACTTCAAGTTTCACCAAACTAACTATACTTGATCTTAGCTTCAACTCCTTTTCTTATCTACTTGATGCTACAGTCAAAAGTTGACTTCCTTGGCGGACCGTCAGCCTTATGATGAGCTCGTGATGCGGCACCTTTGGGACGACGTGAGATGACCTCTCCCGCAATGGGCACCTCCACGGCAAGTGAAGGAAACAAAAGAGACGTATGAACAAGTGAAAAAGGAACTTAAACAAAATAGAGAAAGAACAATAAGTGAAGCGATCGACTACAGTATTGTATCCGCGATCGACTATTGTATCCTGTGTGTCTTGAATTCTGGTGACCACAAAGCCAGCCGCAGAAAGCTCTTGCGCCAAGCGTTCTAGCAAAGCCTTTGACATCAAGAATATGCTGTGGATGTTAGCTCTCTAGATCTCTTCGGATCCACTATTTCATTCTCGTTCGTGCAAGATAGCGGGTTCACACGCTAGGGGGTCATGCGCAGCACAGTCTGCGTCTTTTCGAGCATAGCTCAAGGGCCCTGCGGTCACAGGGTCGTGAGGTTCGAACGACATGGACACATGCCAAACTTGCACTGGTCTTTCTTTAAAAAGACGAAAAAGTGCTTTTGAGGTTCTGTACAGTGCTATGGACTCCGCGACTGCATGTCAAAGTCGTCGATGGAGTCGCTTCGGCCGCCACCATGGAAAGGTGCCCTTCGTCAAGGATCTTCCTCAGCTCATGCTGGGGCTTGATCTTGGTCAAGTGGTCGGCACGTTGAACGTGTGTCGAGACCCACTTGTAGACGTCCTTGACGTTCTCTCCGGAGGGCTCCAACTCCTCAGCCGCTTCTCGCAAGGCGCCGATATCCAAGGTCAGGCGCTTCTCCTGAGTGCTTCCCAAGGGGCCGTCCTTCACCAGGAGGTCGTAAAGCGAGCGGCAGTCTGTGGCAGTGGCTGCTGGAAAAATCTCGGGCGCCAATCTGCCCGATTGCGTCGGCTGGTAGCTCTCGATGAGCATCTCGGCCAGCAGCTCCCTCGTGAACAGCACTGCATCTGTGGCAGCGTCCAATCCCATGGTTTCCGCAGCAAGCGTAGATCTGCACTTGCGACGGATCCTGTGTGACCTCCATTCCACCAGGTTCGCCACATCGCCGGCCAAGGTGAAGACCTCTGGGCCAGTGATGAAGACCAAATAGCCAGCCTGGGACTTCAAGTCGTCCGTGTTCGCCCATGATGCATCGCTGAAGCCAATGATGCGGGCTTTTGTCAAGTCCAATGGCCGGAATTGGAGTGCCCAATCCTTTGATTTCAATGCCTCCTTCAAGAGGTTGTTGATGGCGAGGAGGTTCTGGATGGTAGGATTTCCACCCATGTTCAAGGATGCTCCTGCGGCCAGGTCGGGACGTGTCTGTCCGACAAGCCAATGCAAACAGCCTCCACCGCTCTTGAGCTCGGTGGTTTCTTGGGCGTTGAGTGCCGAGTCCTTCATGATGGTCCTCCACTTCGGCACGGGTGTCAATGTCAAAGCCCTGATGAAGGCTTCTTGCGACAGGGTGATGATGTCGCCCTTCTTGGAAATCTCCTTGCCGCCATAAATCAAAGTTGGCTCCTCTCTGATGTCCTTCCATTCACCAAAGTCAAACTGGGCTCGAAGACGTTCAAGGACTTTGTCTCCAACTCCAGGCTCGCACACACATAGAAGGTCATCCACGTGTGCGCCAACTGCCACAACCAGTCGCTTGTCCTGGTAGAAGAGGAAGACGGCCTTGTCGAGCGTCGACTGCATGAAGCCCAACTTCACCATGGAGTTCCGCAGGTGCCGCCAAAAGAGGCGTGGTGAGTTTGCCAAACCAAAGATGCCCCTAACAACCAAAAGTAACTGGCCAGGGTGTAGTCCTGGTAGTCCTTCTTTCGGCTGCCTCACAAACAAAGGCTCTTTCCTTTTCGCTAGGGCCTGATCGCCCTGCAAGAACGCGCCGGTGATGTCAGCGCAGATGATGAACCAGCCCTTGTGAGCAGCTGCAAGTTGCAGGAGGATCATGAGGCTGAGACGTGTCATCGTGGGAGCGTCTCTTCGAAGTTCCAGCAAATCTGGATCTGCATCTCCTCTGCAAACGATGCGGGCCTTTGGTTTGATCTCCAACCAGGGCGTTGCGGCGTGCTTGTCACGGTAGCACGCCCGAGCCGCCAAGATCCGAGCGGGATCAAAGGACAGTTCCACCTGTCGGCTGCAGTCCCAACTCAACACACGAACGGCCTCGTAGCGAAGCCAGGTTGTCCATTCTTTGACCAGCGCCTGTCGGTAGAGCTCCCGTTGGTCTTCAGGAATTGCACTCCAGGGAAGCTCCTTCTCAAGTGCTTTGCGCTCTTTACGGCTGATCTCGGACTGCATCTCCAGCACGTTGTGGATCATCATGACGTGGCTCTTCTTGTCGATGATGGAGAAGATGGTCACGCCAGTCCAGACCTTGCCCATGACTTCGGCTCCACGTTGGACCCAATCATCCACGTGCTTAGTCCAGCCAGTGTCGGTTTTCATCCATGTCACTCTCTTGGTCCTCCATTTGCCCAAGGGAAGTGGAAGTGCTCGGACACGGCCAGGGTCGTATAGGGCTCGACGTGGTCGAAGGTGTTGTCGGAGAAGTAGGGAAGCCATTTCCACTTGTCATCGGTGTGCACCAGCTCCACGTTGTGCTCTCCAGGTGGTGTTGCAGGTTCTAAGACCATAGATCCTTCTGGTGGATTACTTGCTTGTGAACCACTTGGCGTGGTCTTCAATCTCTTTGGAGGTGCTAGGGATTCTTCTCGGGACGAGGGAGGCCTGATGATGCCTGTCACTGGCGTCCCTGGTGCTCTTGTTGAAGTCCCGGCCGCCAGAGTAGTCAGATCGGAACCTGTCGAAGCGGCTCCATCTGGTTCTTGAGGTGGTGGATGTTGATCGGCTTCACCAGTCTCCATCTCTGCCTCCTGCTCTTCAGGGAACTCGTCGATGAGGTCGTTGAAGACACTATCATCATCTTGGAAAAGGGGAATCTGGTCTTCGCCGTCTTTGAGGTCATCGTCCTCCGGAACCGGTGGTAGATCTCTGCTTCTCAGGTCGTAGTACTTGTCCGGAGGGTTCTCCTGGAACTCCTGGAGGATGTGCTCATGCACGGGCCAAAGTTCTGTTCCAAAGGCGGGTCGAAGTTGTTCTCGAGCGACCAGAACACAGCGGCCTCCAGAAGCGACCCAGTAGTTGCTTTGCTTGACCGAAGAGTCACCCTTGTGAGGTCCGATGATGGTGCCTCTGTACCAGGAAGCTGGAATGCGCTTCCCTTTCTGCCCTTTCTTGCCTTGCCTGTATTTGGCTTCTCTCCAAAAGGCGACCAGTTCACCTGGATGGTAGAGCTCCTTCGCTGGGTGTGACTTACGAAGGATGGCGGTACGCACCGCTTCATTGAGGCGGTAGGCAGAAAGCTTCTCATCGGCCAAAGCCCGTGTGCGGGCGCGCTTCTTGAGCTCATCGTCCAACTCCATGGCCTGCAGCGCCTCAAACTTGCCGTCCGGCGACAGAATGTCCTGTGGCAGGACAGGACTCTTGCCGAACACCCATTGGTAGGCAGAGCATCCCGCGCTCCGTATCCGGTCGTTCATGGCTGCGCCAACGGCGCAAGCTAGAGTGCGCATGTCTCGCTCTCCGGCGAGGTTCAAAGCATCCACAAGCTTGGAGGCTACGTGTTGGAAAGCACGGTTATATGCCTCGATCTGTCCCACTTGCCAATGTGCTTCAGCAGGGGGGCAGTCTATGTTGACTCCCATGTTCCTCATGCGCTCTGCAAACTCGCCTTGGAAAGCGCCGTCCTGGTCGATCCAAAGCTCTTTGGGAAAGCCTGACCAGGAGCACCACAACAAGGTCACCAGGTCGAAGATCTGGCCAGGCTCTCGTGTGGGGCATGGCCAAAACACGTTGAAGGAACCGTTGGGCTCCAGGATGTGCAAAAAGGCGAAGTTGTCCTTGTTGGCATCCGGGGCGGAGCTTACTGTTAAAGGAGCCAGGGCCTTGGTATTCCAGGCTTCTTGGTTCTCTCGCAGGTAGCGCATCTCAACCTGCGGCTAAGTTCAATCGCATCGGGCTCAACTGTTCCATCTTGGATCAAGGCCCTCGTCAGGTCGGCTTGTGAAGGGTGGCCCAAGTTCTTGTGCAGCTTTGCCAGTATTGGGGCCAACTTCTTCTGCTTGTTGTTGAGAGGTGGACCAATGAACCATTGCTCATCTCCGCCAACGGACTGCTTGGTCAGTATTGGCGATTCCAGGTCCACTGTCGGGTCGGCTTGCGCTGATTGCCTTGGAGGTTCTTGTTGAGGAGCGGGTTCTGCTGGGTCTCCTGGAGGATAGCCCAGGACGAAGATGCCGAGCCTCACGGGGTAGACAAATCGTTCCCTTGGGGCCTGCGCCGTCTTGAGGTGCTCGGTCTCGATGGTGAGTGAATCATCTGCATGTAGTAGCACCGAGCAGCGATGGCATTCTTCTAGTCCAGGTCGAACTCGCTTCGCTTTTGGCAGGTGTGCCAACTGGATGTTCATGATTTGCCAAGGAACCAATGCCGAGATCTTGGCATAGAGAGGTGAATCCGGCGGCACGAAAATGCTGCCTTGGTTCTTGCGACCCAAGACCTCCATGGCCTCTTCAAACAAAGGCCGCCACTTGTCCTCGGACTTGTCCGCGTCCACGAACCAAGCCGTCTTATAGTCCTCCTCCTCGTTGAAGGTCTGGGTGCCAAAGTCTTCCTGCTCAACCACTCTCCAGAAGGCGCGACAAATGGCGTCTGCCAGAAAAGGTGGGTAGCATGCTGAGGCTGCAGTATTGGAACCTTGCACGGGTTCATGTTGGTGCGAGCCATCGCACTGTGCGTCCAGCTCTTCAATGAAGTAGGAGTGAGTGGCGATGAAGCGAACCCGCTTCATCATAGGCCTGCCAGCCTTCCCAACTAACCCGAACATGCAGAGGCAACTGGTGGTCTCATAGTACTTCTCCCGAAGGCGAAGAATCTCAGGTTGCCGTTGTGAATCTGCAGTCGCGGGGTTCTCGCGTAGAGCATGGCCTCCATTCTGTACCTGGACGGAGAAGATGTCCTCCGTCAGCTTCAAGAAGGGTCGGTCACGTTCTTGTCGAGCTTCCAACTCCTCGGGCTTGTCCTTATAGTTGACGTTC